TACTTACAGTTTTACATAGTGTTCCTATTTTTTTTTGTTGCTTTTATTGTGCTTTCCTCGGAAACTATACCTGTACTATACAAATCGAAAAACGACTTGTCCAAAGTGGATTTTCCTTCAATTTCTCAAAATATAGGTAATTAGGTTTCGCTTGACCTATTTAAATTTTTTTTCGATTTAATCAACTATAGCTGTAGTAGTAAGTGCTAGTAGTAATAACTGCTCATATTGTATCTATCTTCTATAATAGTTTTCGACGTTTTGTTTCCTTTACTCCAAATCGAAATTACATAAGTGTCGGATTTTTTCGGTACACTATCATTATACATTTAATACGAGTATCAACCTATCTGCGTATATTTTTTGCATTAACGTCACTCATTGATCGGTTTGAAACAAACGACTTAAATCTCTCCGTCGAACTATCTAAACTATCTAATATAATATTATATGTATAATTATTTATATGGGAATAGTATACGGATAGTGCTGCCAGGCTGTCGGCTATATATAAACGCGTATACACATTGAAATTATACTCACTATTTCCACGACTTTGATCAGGAATGGCGAGGCGGCCAGCAGGGACTCTTTGAGCGATTTTTCGTTGGCCATGTTCGCTTGCCGACTGCTGTAGACTGCTGACAGTGTCCTGTTGCCGCGACAGACACGCTGCGTACTGCACCTCTGCAGGGGCGCGAAATGACTTAATTGGAACTAATGGAACGCGACCGCCACTACTGCGCTGATCCGAATTTACTTATATAAAAAAAACACCACTCCCTACCACCGGACGTGCCCGATTTCTTCGCGTTTAACTCTTGCTTGAATCGTTTTGTTTTTTTTACGTCGTATTCTACATGCATTTTAGTATATTTATCGGCGGCGCAGGTCGCGAAATAGGAAGCGTATATACTTATATAGGTACCCCCAGTCCCCACTGTATATATAATGGCTACTATGGCTAAGCCTTTGGGCGTCTATTTCAATAAACAAATAAATAAAGAGATTAAAATATTATATATTAAACTGTAGGCCCGAAGTCGTGTCCCGCTCCCGTTTCGGTCTGTCTCGGGTCCGTCTGGGTGTGAACGTCGCCCGCCAAACGCTTTTCATATACCTATCATCCGTTCGAGTTTTCCCCGAGACGAATCGATCGGACGCGCTCATAGTACATAATTTTGTATATCTAGGTCTGTGTGTACGCGTCGTGAACATATTTCCCGCCGCGAGATGTTTTCCTGCGACAGAGGTTGCGAGAAAACCAGAAAGCAGCAAAAACCCATTAAAATGTTATATTATTATTTTGTTACCAAACAATATTATAGGTGTCTACAACTGCGCCGCCGTCTTCGCGCAACCCGCTAATATATATTATCATTAATCGAAGGCGGCCACCGCAAAATCGTTGTTTTAGTGGAATTGCGAAAAATTCAAAACGATTTGTCTTATGTGCTTCGAAGTTTTTTTTTGCATGTTGCATGATGTGTATATAATACATAGATATACTGTTTAGTGTATGCAGTATTATACGCCTATACCTATGAAAAATATTATATAAATATTGAAATTTTATTTATTTCGCAGGGCCGTATTTAGTGCTCGGAGCACTTAGTAAATGCCACCCTTTTTTAGGGATGTGGCTAGCAAAGTTAAAAACTAATAACAATTATAAATAATGTATATAAGTATAACACCTCGCACTTGTAATATCTTATACACATTTTATATCATAATATACTAATGTAATGCTATCATTTAAACATAGGTATGTTTACTTTCACACCACTTGAAATAACCAATGGCAATGATGAATATACGACTTATTTCTTAAATTTATTCCACCAACAAATGTAAAATACAATACATACCAAAAAAAATATTTACAAACTATTTATAATAGTTAATCATTTGTTGTTAGTAGTTAACTATAAATACACAAAATAGGCCGTTAAAATATACAGCCCTCGGAGTTCCCCACCAGAAAGTGGGGCAATTTCCCACCCTGCTTTGTATAATATACATATGGCCTTGCTATCATATATGTTCTATACTGCAAGCAGAGATCTCTGTTGTTTGTCCGGCAATCAAAAAATTGTTTTTTTAATAATCATTATTAGAGAGTAACCGCTATTAATTATAATCATATAAATTAAAATATAATTTTTTGACTTCTCTAATCATAAATTAAAATCTATTATTAATTTAAACGGTTCAGTAATTTTTAAAGTTTAAGCTGGATGTGGCCCCATGGGTAAATAATACATACTACACGTCTACACCTATATACGCATACAACAAGTATGTCTGGGCTATTACATATTAATATCACTATATCATTATTTATGAATTAAGTTTTATTATATCTACCAATTTTTAAATATAAAATCATTTTAAATTCTAGGTAGGTATAGGTCGTATAGTTGTAGTTGTGTTGTTGTAATATAATATATACACTTATTATTATATTAATATATTATAATAGATACATAATACATATTATGTTATAGTAACTAAACAAAAGAGAACATATATAAAATATCTTATCTGTATAGTATAGGTATCTATAATTAACCTACCTATATATTTTATTGAATTAATATTTAACTTCAATAAAAACTCTTCGTTGTTTTTCATCGGATTTGCATTATCCCCTTCTATGCTGCTAGTGCCTATATGTGTATTCTGATTTTCTAATAGTTTTCACCAATTATATACCTTTTTTTTCATGTTATAAATTATTACTAACGTTTTTTTCACTACCTAGTTCGATTATGGCGTGATAATTAATTCGTCGATTTTTTTTTTCAACCACAACGTTCCGTCGGTTAATCTCTCGTTTATGTAAAGGAATATTATTTTGTTGTGTGTAATTTCACTGTATACAGATATATGTATAGGTATTCTATACATTGGTAGTCATAATATTTTTGTCGAATGCAAAAATGAGGAAATTTAATCTAGAATTCAGAAAATTAATTCTAGATAACTATTTATAAATTATAATATTGTTTAATTTATATAAGTCTTTGTTATCGATTGAATTTCTTGTATGTATCTTGTGTGATGTATAAACAACTCGGTAAAATATAAATTACATTATAGACAATAAACATTAAATAAAATTATATTGTTTATAAAAATATGATGTTTATAGGTATCAATAAGTATCATAATTTATACCTCTGTATACCTACTAATATACCTACCTAATTCTCCAATGCCCTCAGCAGCTTGTGCCTATTTAATTGCTTGTCTAAATACTCTAATGGCTCCATATTTTTAAATGATCATAAAATAAGTTATGTACTATAGAATAAAAAATAATGTTATGTTATCATATTGTCATATTACTTTTTTTAATCTTCAGTAAGGTGTTAAGCAACTCTAATGAATTCATGAATTTAGTGATAATATTTCCTCAATGTTGTAATTGTACTTACCTTGTGCACATTGTGTATCAAATAAAATAATATTGATAATAATGATAATATTAGTATAATATGATTCATTGCTGTGTACTCTTATAGTATGATTACGTCTTATATGCAGTCACACCGGCGACACCGCATGTTTGTATTAACTATGCCGATATATTTACTGTATAATATAATAGTAATTACTCATTAGTCAAAATATCTTTCATGTGCTTCAAAACATCTTTTCAAATAATAATAATATAAGCCTACTTTAATATTCATATGTATGTAATATTCTGTATTTGTGTTACTCATATAGTCATATTCGTTTTTTTTTATTAGCACACCAATATAATATAGTATAAATAACAAAAATAGGCTCGCGTTCATCAGATAATGATATTACATCTATAATATTACCTATATTATATGGGGATGCATCATGCATATAGTAGTATATACATATATTTAGTGACTAAGCTCGTAATTATTTTACAATCGTTTTATTTATTACCTACACTAATAAAAGGACAATTTGTGTATTGTGTTTGTGCTATTGCTTTCATTTAGACGATTCGTTAATTCTGGAAATTTTTACTTTTTTAACTACTACTTATTCATAGTTTTTCTAATTACATATTTATTTTAAGAAATTATAAACTTCATAGATCATGATGCTGGATTCAGCGTCTATTAACTAGGCCTGAGACACGAATAAGTTATAAAGAATCTAACTATAGTGCCTTAATTGTTATTTATTCTTATAACTCCTTACCAAAGAGTTATTAACTATACCCATATTTTTTTAATGCGTACTGACATTATCATCACCATCATTTACGTACGTTTATAAATAACCAATACTTTTTCAATTTACTAATCAAAATAATCGTAATAAGAAGACGATTACGAAATGTTTAATATGTATGCATCTATTTAAATAGAATATTTATAGTTTGTACATTTTGTTTATTTTACACGATTGTTTTATAATATATATGTTATACTAGTGTTGGGGGCAATTTCCTCCGCTATACTTCTTCCGGATCCGTAGTCCTTGATGTTTATATTTATATTGTTTTGTAATAGGACCTATACTCAGTGGAGCGTTAATTTCAAAACGATTTCCAGTTGTTTTAATCTGAAATTTTAATCTACATAATATTTTTTACTTTGTAATTATTGATTTTGTAGGTATCTAATATTTAAACTAGGTATTCATTAATTACTATTTTATACTATTTATGCCGTTGTATATCTTACCTACTTAAGTACTACTATCGCTAGCTGCTCAAAAGAAAAACTGACGAATGTCAATTGAAAACAAATATTGCAACACTACTGATTAAATTATACAAGTTTTTTTTTACCGAAGAACAATACTTCAGTAAAAGTTTAATGGCTTCATACGATGATCGTTTCTTAATATTTTTTTATGCGTTTGCTGTATTGTATTATTTCAAAATCGGTGTTTTCGTGGTTAAATCGATCAGTTGAGTGTGTGTCGTTGAATGTTGATAATATATATTGTAATAGGACCTACATATATATGTATATATATGTATTAAAAAAATATTCAAATTAATTCTGTAATAAAATACAAACGATCGCTGGTGTAATGTATTTGTACTTATACACGGTATTTAAATATAATTATAACATATCTAACTATTAATACAACATATTATTATATAAATATATACTACATATAAGACTTTTTTATATTATTATATTTACAAAACACTATTAAGACTTATACATGGATGGAATGTCGTTAGATTTAAATAGGTATAAGTAATAGGTACATAATGAGTAGAAAAAAAGTTAATTATTAATTATTTGATATTGTTTCACAAAGCACATAGTATATTATTATATTATTTATATGTTTGAACGTTTTTAAAATACTATATATCATACACACTCATGCATGTATAGACTATCCGCTCACGTGCACATTCCACGGTTCATTTATCCTTTCGGATTGTATACATAATATTATATTTATACAGGCAGATTTTTAGTGTATACGTATACATATATGTCGTATAAGAGTAACACCGTCAAACTTATGGATAAATTATCTATATTTTAATTAACTTAAATTGGTCGCAGTCGCTCCTCTTAAGTCTTAATCGAACTCCATTTCTCTGGCGAAATGTATAAACGACAGAACGGTATCAACCAGGTAAACGGCACCGGAAAGAACGCACAGCACGCCCACCGTGATGCCTATGGCACGTTCGGAAGTGACGCTGATGTATTTGTTTTCGTTCTGATAACCAATCCAATAGTGGAGTGCTATGCCGCCGACGGCGATAAACATGAACATTCCAACGAAATTCATTATTATATCCTAGAAAAAGAGTAAAAAAGTATAAGTTTAATATCATAGTATATCATACAAAACGAATGGAATCCTTTTAAAAAGAAAAAAAACACAAAAATAGACATTGTTCTGCGTAGAATTCAATATTATTAAATATATTCTGTCTATAGCCCCTCCTTTTATTTCCTAGGATTTTTTCTTAATCATACATTATGAAAGTATGCCTTAGTAGGTAGGTATGTAATAGCATTTTATAACAATTTGTGATGACTTGATGATTTGAAATTAAAAATAACAACATTTTTTTGTAGAATGTGACGTGCAATATGCCACCCGCTGTGAAGTTTCAAGTCTATTTTTGTAGAAAGGGGGAGGGGGAAATCGATAAATTAGTCACTGACAACCTATATAAGTACAACAAATTTGTCATTTTGTCTACAACTGATGTGTAATATATATAATATATAATATGTGCACTCACCACTAGCGTTTTCTTCTGGTGGTTGGACCCGAACCCGTACGATATCAGGATCACAATGGTGTATATGAAGAAACCGACAAACACACCGGAAGCGACTATTTCCGCATCCGGGTTTTTCTCTTCGTTCAAGTTCCACGTGCCGCCGACTCCCAAAAACCCACCGCGATACCCGGTCCGGTATAGCACCAAAATGATTATGTTCAACACCTATTTATTATAAGTACATATTTAATATATATGGGCTGCGATAGTACTTATATATTATGTATTATAACTTGTCTGCGTATAATTCGTATGTCAGTGGCGATGACGTATGTGTCATAATCTGGCCTATAGTGAAATTGCAATGTTCAATTAAAACATATATATCTCATCATTATAAGCCTTCGGCTCCTTGGAAAATTATGTTCGCCCAAAGGGGATGATCGAGAGGCAGCCACCTCAGTATTTTTTAGTGGCTGGGCAATGGTAAATGAGTAGTAATTCAGTATTCACTGTTACGACATGTATATGGTTAAAAATATGACGGTTAATGCCTTAATAAAGATTTTGTGGGCGGAATGGTAGAATAATATTAACTTTCCTATGAAGAATTTCAAGTTCGCAACGCCACTTCATAATTATATTATACGAACGATAAATACACATTATTACCAACAATTCGTGTATTTTTTGCAGTAAAATTTTGTATTATAAAATTATATTTTATTTCAACCAGACTTACCAATTTCACGACTTTGATGATCACCGTGCCCACGCTTGCTATGTTGACCATTGTGAATTCGCTTCAGTGACTATGTGTATGTATATAAAACAATGTAATCGTCGTCCGGTCTGTATTCGTTGTGTGACAAATCGCGCACTCGTACAAAAAGTATCTATGGGTGTATTGCCACTGATGGCAGTTCGCTGCCACTGCCGTCGATTGCGCGATGCGGCGGGCGAGAGCTTTACGCCTCTCGTTATCTTTATGACGGTGTGTTTGACGACCTACCCATACCTATCGTCGGTGGTTTCGTATGCGAACGCACTACACATCGCATACATATAGGATGGGCCGGGCACTCATATATAGGTACAGTTATATCATAACAATATATTACATTACATTTATGTGTATTATAGACACTCAAAATTCTCACTGGTGCAGCCGTATTATTGTCGGTATTAGCACTCGATTATTGTGTGTGTTAAAACGATGAAATACCAGATTAGATATTTGTGTGTGCAAGAAAAAAGCATAAAAATATTTACGTACCTACCTAATACATACGTATTGTATAATGTGATATATGATATATATATATATACATATATAGTGTATAGGTATATAATATTATATACGTGTATATAGCAACGTGTCGTAACTCGCTGCAGTCAGCAATATAACACCACAATGTTTGCTTTTGTAAATCGCATTTAGTTTATAAAAACGAATGCGTAATGCATGGCTATGTATACATTTCATGGTATACCGAGAGTACTGGAATTTAATCGCTGCCACACCCACGAAAGTTTTGTAACAATCATACATTTAGTCTGGCCTTTTTGTGACAGTTGTCTACTATGATACATATCATTAAAATATAAAATATTGCTACAGAGTAACGTGGACGGGTGATCAACTATAAAAAAAGAACAACAGACAAATAGATAGATTTGATGTACGAATGTCCCCCCAATCGGAAAGAAACTTGTAGCTTTTATCAATACTATACTCAATATTGTCTATATTATTGTCTACGATATTGATATGTTAATAGGCATCGTCAAAATGATCAATAACCATGCGATAAGGTTCAAAATGAGTATAGAGAACACTGTATGCTGCAAATATAATACTGTACCATGCTCTGCTGTAAGGATTTTTGAAAGCAATGGGGAATTGTTATCTTCCTCGCAGCCCCCTGATGTACAGCCCTAATTATACATTACGTTAATATTGCAGGAACCTATATATACGTATTGTATACCTGCCGAATGACGACGGTGTAATATGATATTCAGGTCTCGGGTGGCATAAAATAGTTGGCTGCGTATATAACGCGTGCGAACGACCGCTGCAGTGCGTGCAATACATGTGGTTACAAACGCGTGAGCATCAAAGACGTTTTTGGGAGGAGGGGAGGGGGGGGGAACTAGTGAAATTTCAGATTCGATTATTGAAATACCTATGTCATTATTTATTATATGCTGATGAATAATATGGTAAAATTACTGACCCCCGCCGCCCGATCTCTTAAAAATTCACTTGGCCAATACCCAGTGAAAACAATTTCCTATGTAAGCTGCTGTGATGCGCAAAGGTAATAGCATGTGTGTTAGCCGCACTGCATTGCTGGTATACTGCCCCTAAACCTGCAACCTAATCTTGTGTAACTACACATCGGTTGTGCTTGGGGATGTCTTAGGTAGTCAGATGTATGCTGGATGTTGGTGATGTATGGTAAATGGTAATGGATGATCTTGCATCACTCCTTAAAGTTAAACGTTTGTATACTTACGTAAAAACAAATTTGGAATTTGTACGTACACATACAAATTATGTCTATATATGACAATAATTATAGAGAGGTGTAGTCGTGTTTTATGATTTTCCTTTTAATGTTATCATATTATTTGATGTGTAGTAATTGTGTACATTTTTTCTTTATTTGACATGCTTATTTTTGGTTTTTCCACAATTTGGCTCTTTGTCCTCGTGTGTCGTGGAAAATAAGTCACTATATACACCTTCATTATTTGGTTATTTAATATTATATCTTGTAGAACCTGTTTGGGTACATTATTCATCTTTTTTTAAAGTGACTCTCAACATTGTCCAATAAATAATTATACAATATTCAAAACAACACAGTGTTTTTAAAAAAGGTAAATATTTTTCCTCAATAATCCATCTCAAATAACAGCTCAAATGTATAAAAATAAAAACTGGTTAAATATTATGAATAGAATGTACAAATAAACATTTATATTGGATTAGTGAAGTGAATTGAAGATAAATCCATCAAAATATTTTTGTCATAGTTCCAATTTATTTCTCCATTAATAATAACTTCATTTTAGGTAACTATAGGTATTGGTGGTTGAGCACTATATGAAATTGACTATTATACATTTTTTGTCAGCTTACTGGAATTTCGAGTGTTCTACGGATTTATTTTATTCTATATTAGCTGTATAAAATTGTAAAAAATGAAAATTTGGCAACATTACACTGAGATTAAACTAATAACCTGACGAACGGAATAACGCGTTGTAAAAGTGTTACCTACGTTAAGCACCATATAGGTACACAATCTTGTTCTACCCATAATACCTGTATCCACTATCCATCACATGGCTTACGGAAAATAAATTGAAATATTATATTAATACGTTTTGAGTTATTTTTATAGTTTGACTAAGTATATTATATTATCTATACCAAAAGGAGGTTATTACATTATCGATGCATAATACGTGTATACAGTTTTTTTTTTTTTGAGGAACAATGTCAATCGGTAGGTACTTTGGACCGCCCAAAGAAGAGGCTTTTCTGTAGAGCAGCTTTTGCGTCTTTGTACTCACACAACTATACTTTTATGTATTTCTGTCAACATATAATTACGTGCCACACATAATAATGTGTATGTGAATATGTTATAGGTATATATTATAATATACTTACATATAATATTGTAATTATATAGGTTTTTTTTACACAGGTGTAGGTTTCTACTCGAAATATCGCCTGCATTTATAACAATAACGACTCTTACGATTTCAGGAATTGGGACTGGACATTACCGACCAACAGCTGAAGGAGCTGCGCGACAACGTGGACAATGTGGACTTTGCGGCGGCGGCCGAAGAAGAGAAGCTTACCCGACACGACATCATGGCTCACGTTCACACGTATGCCGCGTGTTGTCCGACCGCCGGACCCATCATTCACCTGGGCGCCACTTCGTGCGACATCGGAGACAACGCCGTAAGTCCGAACGTGGTTGACCGCACTACCCAGCTGGGGTGGGCTTCTAGTCGTGCGTAGGTCATATTATATTGTTTTGTACACCCTAGGCGTAAGTGGTTGAATCCGGTTTTTTGAGAGTGTGAAGCTATAGTACTGTACGATCGCGTGTAAAACTTTGTGCGAGTGAACCACTCAGCGAGTATATGCCATTCTGCTCTGACCCAATTTTATATTGTACCAAACAAGTGCGATCGAATTCGTGATTTATACGTGGCGTAATGATAACAGTATATCGAAATACGGATTTATGAAGTCCCGGTTCCAGTGGACTATGTGTATCCGTGTATAGGTATATCGTTCTGAAGTAGGTTCGTACATTAATATGTATACGTGCTACAAGCACATCAACCAAGTCATTCTTTTTTCAAAACACACTCATTATTTCAAAAATTATTAACGATTTTTAAAATATTTTTTTTTCATAATTTTGAGCCATAATTTATTTTTCAAATAAACATAAGCACCTTTTTCTAATTTTTTTTATAGTACTTCGATGTATACAACTTGAATTGAATAATTAAATTTTAGTTATGTTTACTTACAACAATTTAACAAGTATAATAATTCAGTAACTAAACAAAAAATACTTGACAACAAATCCGAATAACCCCGATGTAGGTATATGATTTCTAGCGGCCGACATGGCCATGTTTACTATTACAATTTACAGCACGAGTTATAACTATCCATGTTAGTAACTTAATATTCAGAGTGGCACCTAGTGAGATTTATAAAATCCTGATTCTACAGATATTCTATGATTGTACGATTATTGTGCAAAATTTAAATTAATTTTGCACCCACTGAACTTATTTTCTGTGATCGTCATCCAGCAGTTACAACGGTATACTTGAAAGATATGATTTATAGAACCTGGAAATAATTATTTTTTATTACTCATAGGACTTGATAGTCATAAGGGACGCTTTCGACATACTGTTACCGAAACTGGCTGGTTGTGTGAAAACATTGGGCGAATTTGCGAATGAACACAGGCATTTGGCCACTTTGGGTTTTACTCACTTCCAGTAAGTATATTACCTATATAAATTATGTATACTTATAACAGTTATAACATATAAACAATCTTGTGCGTTTAAAGTTTAATTATAAAGTAAAATAATTTATAATATTATACACTTTTATTTTCAGACCGGCTCAACTCACCACAGTCGGCAAACGCGCTTGTCTCTGGTTACAAGATTTGATTTTGTGCGAAAAAAACATAAGTCGTGTTCGTGCTGACCTCAAGTTTCGTGGTATCAAAGGAACCACAGGCACCCAAGCGTCATTTTTGCAACTTTTCAACGGTAATTTTTCACTATCCTCTCCTACCTTCCACTTATACATGAGTATCTAATACATTCATCCACTCGTTAATGCTGGGATATGGGATTATTCATATTTAAATTTGACGGATAATATACTAAAATGTGTACACATAATATTTTATGAACGAATATTACAGTAATATTAAACAATTTAAACCCAAAAAACCCAAAAAACCCAAAAAACCCTGTTTATCCTGCACTATATTGTATAAGTAACTGTCAATTGTAATGAATGTATAAATAAATATATGTATATAATATTATGTTTCAATGTTCTACAGGTGACTACAATAAAGTTAGAGAACTGGATAATAGGGTAACAAGGCTTGTCGGATTCCCAGCTTCATACTCCGTCACTGGTCAGACATATCCTCGAATTGTTGATGCAGAAGTTGTTTCGTCCTTAAGCATTCTTGGGGCTGCTGCCCATAAGGTACATTAAAATAATATTATAATGTGATCGTTTAGTATTATAATACAAGTTATAGGTATTTAATTCTCATAAAAATATGTAAAAATATATAATAATTTGAATGTATTGTATACAGTTGTGTACAGATTTGAGGCTATTGGCCGGTATGAATGAAATTGGAGAACCTTTTGAACCCACTCAAATAGGCTCAAGTGCTATGGCTTATAAACAAAATCCAATGAGAAGTGAAAGAGTTTGCTCTATTGCTCGGTACCTAATGAATTTGGTTAACAACCCTTTATCCACTGCCTCTGTACAGTGGTTAGAGCGAACATTGGATGATAGTGCAAATAGGTCTGTGTTAAATTGTTTTTGTACCACAATTATTTTTGAAAAACATTCTAATAATATGTTTGGCATTTTAGGCGATTGTGTTTATCAGAAGCATTTTTGGCTGCAGACAGTATAATGCTGACATTGCAAAATATCCTTGAAGGGTTATCTGTATTTCCTAAAGTGATATCAAGAAATATTGAGAAAGTTTTACCCTTTATGGCGACAGAAAACATAATTATTGCAATGGTCAAAGTTGGAGGAGATAGACAAGTAAATATCAGCCACTACACAAACATTAATATTTTTGGTTTTGACCCAATCATTAACCAATTTTAATTACTACTTAAATTATAGTTATCACATCATAGATATCAATTTCATTTTAAAAATTGGTTTCTATTGCCAATAAATAAAATGTAAAATTGGAAGGATATTTTTTGTTGAATTAATAAAAAATATAAGAGTACAGATAACTATGTCAATCTATTACTATGCACTCTTTGGCATTTTATTGTATTACATACCTACTTGAATACTTTTATACAACCGTACATGAATTATAATGTAAGCTATGTTTTTAAATTTGTATGATATAATTTATATTATTCACTGTGAAGAAATTGTAGTTTATTAGTTTAATTTCTTTTAATGCGTGGGAAGGCTGTTCAACTAATCCACCTCTGTCTCAAACATAAATAACCCACTTAAAAATTTTTTTTTTATAATAAACAAAAATGTGTTATAAATTATAATACTTTAATGTTGGGTACTTTAATAAATAATATGATAGGTCATATACTACATCAAAGTCACAAAAATATGTATACATAATATATAGTATTTAATATTTAAATATTTTTCATAACTATGTTTAGTCAGATTCCTGAAAAGTTAGTGTATTATGTAATATTTAATCTATATTATATGACTAAATAATTGAACTCTTATAAATCCACTACTGTATTCAAATATGCTTTATAATTAGGCATGTAATATTTATATTGACACATGTTTTTAAAATATCTATCCAAGTACTCTGAATCATTAGAGAATACATGTCTATTGTCTGTACACAAAGAGACCAGAACTGTGCGTGAATGAAAACTCATAATTCCTATCAGCTTGCCTACTTACCATCTATTGCTCTAGATTGGTGTCAAGTTATACAGTATCAGTATTGTAGTTATTGCAGTCCATATGATGGAGGTGGCAATTCATTTTAATTATGTATATCAAATAATGATGTAGAGGAGAAAAATTGTTGATGGAATCGACCACATTTTCGTCATTCATGTGTGGTCCTGGTCTCTTAAGTCTTAGTGAACAGACATTAGTTAATTTCAACAATTCTGAAAAAAAATATGATTTGTAGAATTACTTACAACACAAGTAATTAATAATTACTTTTAAAAAATTATATATATTTTAATTGTTTATTGGTATATTTATATTAATAATAGAATTAGACAATAAAAATGTTGATATTACAATCTAAATAAAACTTTTCTATTGTATAAAATTGTATAATTAACCAAAAGCAAATTTCAGGTGTGCCATGAGAAAATAAGAGTTTTATCACTAGAGGCAGCCAGTACAGTCCGCCTAGAAGGTAAAGACAATGATCTTTTGGACAGAATTGTGAAAGATCCATATTTTGCACCAATATTAGATCAGTTACCTCATCTTTTAGATCCATCTACTTTTGTCGGGTCTGCACCTGATCAGGTAAATATTAAATCAACAAATTTGATGTTTATTTGAACTTTAATAACACGATTAATTATTTAAAGGTGGAACATTTTCTAAGAGAAGAAGTACAGCCCGTGGTCAGCAAATACATTTCCAAGATCAAAACTACAGCTACAAAACTGGATATCTAAATCAAAATGCTTTTTATATACCTAATAATAATCTTCATCAAAAATTAGAATTTAAAATGTTTATTCACTTAAAATTAGTGGATTTTCTGATAAATGATAGCCTTTTGTTTTCATAATATAATTGAATATATTTAAGGAAATATTTTTCATTTCTCCCCTCCTTTAAATTGTCATTAAATTGAAGACATTATGTTTAAATTCTCTTGTACATTTAAAGGTCATATGAAAATCGTATCAAGTTTCATTGAGCAAAATCAATTTAAAATTTAATCAAATATTTTTAGAATATATAAATAATATATTATTTCTGTCTAAGGCAGTTGAAAGCAAATCATTTTTAAGGGGTCAGATTTAGGCAATATTATATATCTAAATATTTTGTTTGTGTTAGAATATGTTATATGTAGTGACTGATCATTAGTGTGCTTGAGCTGCCCAAACACTTTATGAAACTAAAGATTCTTAGAAATCTGCAAAAATATACGCGCTGTCACACACCACTATATTTTGCAACCAAAAAATGTTCAACAGGTCCCAAAAAACATATTTTAATTCTTTATTCTCTTTTCTAGTTTATGAAGAATATAGATGTTTGATTGGTTGTATTAATTAAGTAGTATAAAAAAAATTAATTCCTACAAAATAGACAAGAAGCGATCAAATTCAAATATTTTTTCAACACTAATATTGAATTTCTGGAAGTATTTATTTCTTTTTTCTGCTTATTCGTCTAAATGCATAAAAAAACGACCATCTTTTAACAGCCTTAAATATTATAGATGACACATAATAACTTAAAAGTTATATGCCCAGATGCCCTAATCAAACATTAAATTTAGTCTTAAAATGTATGTAAATTTAAGAATTTAAACATAATATGTTTTTACTTTTTCATAGTATTGTTTCATTCATTACTTATTAGAAATTAAAGTTAGTCGTACATCATTAACATTTAATTATAATCACACAATTTGTTTAAAATCGAAGAAATAAGTGATTATTGATTTCTTAATAAAATCCTAATAATGTTTAACTCTAATCAATATTAAAATTTTTAGTGAAGGTTAAACTACCCGATTAATAACTTTCAACCCAAATGAATTTAAGTGACCTCCCATTGTATAAACTATATCTATAGTATAGTCTGATAATTGTTGTCCTCTACACCTGTACCTTATGAAGGCTACTGGATAGTGCTACCTAGGTACTACTGAAATGAAAATTCCTTTAAAACTGTGTACCTAATGATTAAATGATAATTTAAAGTGAAATTACCAACATATGCAATAGGTATTGAATAGTAGGTTAGAAGGATAATATTTAATAAATATTTAAAAAAAACAACTGTTGAATTTGAAGAATTGCGGAAAAGAAATCCGCTCACTAGGAAAAAAATCCCCAGTAGCATTATATTGGGGATTAACTAAGTATAACTAATTTATTTTACAAATTATACATTAGAAATAAAATAAATATTGTATATGTACTATTTAAAAATGGTCTTATACCTTATCTTTATGTTTTAAAATAACAATTTTTTACATTTATTTTTTTCTATAATTATTATTGTAACCTTAGTTATCATGGCTGACAAGAAAATATAACCGCATATGTTAAATTATACTTCCCTCACATATATTATTTATTATTATTTTAAGCTTCGGTATTGTGGCATACATATATTATATAATTTATATATATATATATATAATAGAAGTATTGGTAATATTGTATTTTTGGGGTATAAGACAATTTTTATTTTTAGTCAACCCTCAGTATAATGCTACTGAGGACTTTTTTAATAGTTTTAATAGTCTTATAGCAAGTAATATGTACCAACAAAGCTCCTAATGAACTCTTAATTTACCCATAGACATAATATAGACATCTTTATTATACTTATACACAAATCTACATTCTACCTAAAATCAGAAAAAATCTAACTTGAAACTAGAATGCACCGGTCTATTATCTATGTGCACGGTCCAATCCGACCACGATTTAAGATATATAATATATAATAATATAATAATATAATAATATAATCGTGAATCTGACCGACGGACGACCGTCCGACCGTCGACCGGGCTTAAAACTTAAAAGTTGGGAGTAAGATATTACATTATCATTTATCCTTCTTCTGTTTTTTATGATAATATCCTAACCTAAAACATCAAGACGATGATAACAACGACCATGATTTCCCGCCAAATTATGATAAAACATTTGTATTTTAATTTTTTATCAGTTGTCACTTGACGTTGTCAGTTGTCGAATACGATTAAATTAATATAGAAGCTGTCAGCTTCAAGCTGAGAGCTCCTGAGTCCTGACTCCTGTACAGTGTACGGTTTTAGGGATAGTTTTTTCTAATCTTTTTGACTTGTTATTTGTATTTATTTGTGCTTAAATTAATATTGATTTTCGATTTTCGATTTTCGAGCACAAAATGAGTGAAACTACAAAATTACGCAAGTTCATTGTCAGCACATTCTCACTCAATGGTTTTACGGTTCAAGAGTAAGTACACAATTAGTGTATGTGCATTGGAACGTTCACTTCGATCGCTTATGGCGTTTCTCTTATTGTACATATTTTGTACAATTAAATTATAGACTAGGGATTATAAGTTCATATTTTTAGAGGACCACTAGGAGTTTAGAATGTTTTGGATGCCATCAAAATTGAATGTAACTTCCCTAATGGACACCTCCAAATCTTGGACGTTTTTTGGAAACAAACTACAAACTAAACCATTTAATATTATCAAATACCAGAGACAATTTTAGTGACCGAGAGTATCCGGTATTTAGATGTTTTACTGTATTTGATTATCCAAAGAAAGTAAATCAAAATAAAAAAATCGGTATAAATCTAGTTTAGCACCTACGCAGTTTTCTAAATATGCTAAATGATCATATTTCATATGGTGCAATCAGAATTGAGCGGTCGAATTTACTTTTTGAGTTATAGCACTTGTAAATTTTGTAAATGTTCTATGTTGTGTTAAATGACTCAATATGGCGATAACATATTTAGGCTATGTGAATTGTGACTGATTTTCGTTAAAGATTGTACAAATGTATTTAAATTTTTAAATGGTTTAAGATATAGAGATATTATGTTTTCAACTATAGATAAAATATAATACCTTTTTATTTTTGGTTCATAGCTGTTTCTTACTCAGTTAACGTAACACGTACTAAAAGAAATTCTTAAGTTTTTTCTTCATTTAATAATGTGGTCTGTTGTTAAATTATTTAAATTATTTGAGTGTAATGAAGACGGTCCGTTGTCAATGCCAGTTGTTGAACAACTTCAATTGTGGGGTCTAATTGCCAAAAACAATAGCTTTAAATGTAAAAATTGTCATTTTGCTAAATTGTGCCCGCATGCAGATTATACTGATGGATTTGTTTGGAGGTGCAGAGAAAGGTCTTCTAAAAATAATAAAAAAATGGTTAATTGTGATTTTAAACAGTCAATAAGGAAAGACACGTTCTTCGAAAAATCACACTTGTCGATTTATCGTATCGTTATGTTTTCAGATCTATGAACGGAGAATATGTCTCTTACTTTTATTAAAAATCAAACAGATATAGCTCCACAATCCGCTGTTGATTGGGCATCTTTTCATCGAGAAGTTGTCTTTGATGGAATGATTTTAATCAGCTGTAACTTAAAAACTATTGATTTCCGCCAATTTTTTTTTGCACCATCATTTTTAAAACGTTGATTTACCTAGGGTTTGGAAAAAAAAACTCAAAAATTTGCGTGGGCGCTAAACTAGAATTGTTCCAAAAATTCAATTAAAACCAATGAAAATTTAATTTACCATGAAAATATTAATTTCATGTCGTGGGAGAGTCAGATAAAGTTTTCAATGGGTCACTGTCAATCGATGGACCCACCTAATGTAAACAAACTATTTTTTGTTTAAATGTATTTTTTTTTTCAGGAGAGCATGTGCATATTTAGTACAACAGTTAGAACCATTAGAATCGAGTGAAGATCGTGATCAATGGTTAGACAAAATTGTGGATTATGTACGTGTTTCGAATACGAATGATGGAAACATAGTAACATACGAGTTACTAAGCAAGGCTCTGAAGGTGAGTTTAAGATTATCAATTATAATTTATATTTCCAAATTAAGTATTACCTATCATCTTATTTAACATGTATCTATATCATGGTTTTTATAGTTCTGCTGTAATTTACAAATCCTTAATGATGAAGACATATTACATGTGACTCCTGCTTATAAGTTACCTCGCTATAGGTATTGCCCAACAACAAAAAAGTTTCAAAGAATAAAATCAGAAACATCCATGTTTGGTGATGCCCAATCAAAAATCTCCCAGTATGTTGACAGGTAAGCAGTTATATATTTTTTTATCTATTGATGTATATTTCCTAGTATTTATTTATTTGATTATTTTATATTTTCATAGATATACTGTCATTAGACAACGCATGGCTAGAATAAAGACTACAGCTGATGGCACACTCAATCAACCATTGACAATCGGTGATAAAATACGTGATGTTGATTATCTTTTAAGTTCAGGAGCCTGCAAAAAATTTGATCTCAGTTCCAAAAGTGATTCAATACTCCTGCTGGGTGTTTTAGTACAATTGAAAGAAGGAGGTCGACATTATTTAGAAGACCCCACTGGAGCTATACCCCTTGATATTTCTGCAACAATATCCTTTTAAGCCAAGACAGTAAACAATATCTTAATTTTGTTACATTTTTAGTAATAGTAAAAAAAAATAATTAATATTGTACAATTAAATCATTAATTTTAAATCTAAAAGTTCTATTCCAATATTATTTATTAATAGTTGACAACACAAGTATTTTTAAATAATTTCCTTAACCTTGTATACGATTTCCAAAGAGGCTATTTCACTGAGAATTGTTGTGTATTGGCAGAAGGTCGTTATTGTAGTGATCGCCGAGTATTTTTTGTCACTAATATGGCTTTACCACCAAGTGAACGTGCAGAAATTAGCAAGTGAGAAAAATGTTATATAATATTATATAGGTATAATCTATAATCTAGTTATATTGTCTATAACACTTTAATCTAACTAAAATTGAACTACCAATACTACTAAATATTCAGTATATTAT